GTAGGTGACGAAGCAAACTTCTTCGCTGGTGTGGTATCAGATCAGGTGTCAGAAAGTTGCAACAGTGGCAATTTATAAAAGTCTCGAGTGACGTTTGTTGTAACTTGAAACGTCTTAAGTTGAGGAGTGCCTGTCCCCAGTTCACTCTGCCTTGCAGCATCCACTCTGCCACCCTGACATGCCTTTGGATGTGCCCTTCCTAAACAGGCTGAAGCTCCCGTAGAGGTATTACTTTCACTTGATGAAGGGGTCTCCTAAGACAGTGGTCTCCAAACTTTTTTGATCGTGCACCCCTATCAGTAAAAAATGTTTGAGTGCGCACCCCCAATATATGTCACAGTACACTGAAAGCGAACAAACAAGTGAGGGTGCCACTGTCAACCCCTCTGCATTGTGGAACTCCCACTCTTCCCTCAGGATACCTTGCGTACTGTGCGTGACACATGACCATCTGACATACGGAGCGAGTGAGGGCACCAGTGTCAATCCATATATTAAATATTAGTAAAGCTTAATTTCTTTCTTATGTTTGTTGATAAAAATAAATATAAATAGAAGTTCTAATATTTTCTTCCCGCACCCCAATGGATCATCTTGCACACCTCCTCGGGTGCGTGCACCCCACTTTGGAGACCACTGCTCTAAGATAAAGGTTCTCAACCTTTTTTGTACCAGGACCCATTTGTAAACGTTGATGGTCAGTCCCGACCCAGTGCACCTCACTCCTGATATGCTGCCCCCAAGCCCCAGCTCTCCCCAGTGTGTGGCATGGGGAGGCCCCAAGCAGCCCCTGGCAGGCTGGAACTCTCACCACCTGCAAGGGAAAACCCACAGTTTCCCATGTTTTTCTCTTTTAGGGAGAATCCATTTTTAAAGTTGGTTTGCAACCCTTTCATATATCCTCATGAGCCAGTTTTGGGTTGTGGCTCACAGGTTGAGAAACACTAATCTAAGGGCACATCACCCATCACTTGGGACAACAGAAAGATAATACAGGGATGGGAGTGAAGGTCATAGGTTCAAAACGAGTGCACCAAGGGCAGGGCACTGAGCAGAGAACACCGAACTGTTGTGTGACATGGGTCTTTTGATATGTCATTCGGGACAGTAGCCTGAATTCCACTGAGTAAATTTATAAGCTGCAAGTTTATAAGAATCATCCCTTGGTGTTGGGGGTCACTATGGGCATATCAGTGATTACTTGGGACAACAGAGAAACAAAACAGGAATGGGAGCGAGGATCATAGGTTCAAAATGTGTGCTCCAAGGCGGGACATAGAAAAGGGAACACTAGACCATTGTGTGACACAGGAGAGGGGGCAAGATGAACTGATGGTCTGACCTAGTAAATGGTAGTTCCTAGGAATTAAGGATTTTGCTACATTTAAATCATTTTCAGTTCACTTGCACATTCTCAACTGGAGTACCCAGCATGCAAGTGTGCCTTGGGATCCTTTCAAGGGTGCCCTGTGGTACCACGCAGTGTTAGATCTGTTAGGTTTGTAAATGTGATTCTCAAGATAAACCCACAGATTTGAAATAGGCATCTGTAGTGTTAGAAACAGTCTGAGATGCTTTGTTCTTTCTGAGGTTTCCTTGTGACGGAAAAACTCCTGTATTATTTTTCCATAATCAAAAAATGGGAGAAAACTATGAGCTGATGTGTTCCAAGGGGTGCCTCAAGTCAGAAAAAGTTGAGAACTACTGAGTTAGAAGATATCAGCTGCTGCCCTTTTGAAACATTACGCTTTTAAAAGGCTCCAAGTGCTCATGGATCTGTAACCTGTGTACATACTGGATAATTTTTTACTAGTTTTGATCCTCTGTTCGAGCCTCACAATTATTTGGAATTCTAAAACTGCTGAGGTTTGTGGAACCTGATTGTAGAAGAAGGTATTAAACTATAAGTGAACAGGTCCGGGTAATGAGCTGTGAAGATCCAGCACTCTCTTTTTAAATTATTATTATTATTATTATTATAATAATAGAGGTTGGGGTTTTTTCAGTTTGCCTATTTCAGCATAACTGTAGGAATCAGTTCATAAGTTATGTTCTTAGCATATTGGATGCTTCAGAATAGGAAAGATGCAAATAGGTGGGTGGGTTTTTCCCCCCTTACATGTATACATTCTGTTGTTGATAGGCAAGTCAAAATGAAAATGGTGGCAAGGTGCGAGTTTGCTCTTAAGACTTAGTACTGTCCTGGCTTCCATAAACAATGTAGTATGAGATGTACAAGAACCTTTTATGACATTAAAGTTGTGTTTATGAGTCTTTAAACGTGGTGACTGCCCTATTCTAGCATGGTCAAATTAATCTGTGCCCATAGGGGACAGAATTAGGAGGAAATTTATGCTGGAGATTAGAGGTATTTTCTGATTTTGAGAGTGGACAAGCATTGGAACAGGCTATGTAGAGTAATTGTAGAATTACCCATCCATGGAAATTTTCAAGAGCAGGTTGGACAGGCACTTGGCTGCGATGGTCTGGTCAGGGATGATCCTGCCTTGGGTGGGGACTGGACTAGATAACCTTGTGAGGTCTTTTCCAGCCCTACTTTTCTATTATCCTATGAATTATGGCCAGGGAGACCTTGTAATTTTCCTAAACACATTAACAAAACCTTGTGCTTGGCAGTACAAGATTGCTGGCTCCATTGGAGGGCTTTGCCTATGATGAATTCAAAGGCTTGTCTAAAGCAATTGACCTTAGATCCTTTTCTTGAATCAATTTACCTAGGATGATTCTAACTATGTGGAAACTCTGATTTTGGTTGGGTTTGATCTACTTTCTTAGTGATTTAATGAAACCAAAATAAACACCATTTATACCAGAACTAAGTGTGAACACAAGAGGAGGCTGGTTTAACTACATTATTTTAATTACACTTTGATAGTTATTCAACATTGTTGTGTAAACAAAGGCTCCTTCATTTTCTTTTTCCTTTGCTGTCAGGTCTGTCCAACTTAGGAACTGTGTTTTTTGTAAGAGTAGGTAGTTAGGAACTTTAGAAATACAATTTATTTATCAATTTACAAATCATTTTCATGCATATCTTAGAAATGCCAGATTAATGATTACAAGAATGAAACTTGCTTTCTTTGTTTAGAGAGATGTTATGCAACAAGGTAATCATCAAGTCTTTCTGTTTGGCAGGGTGATATTACAAGATGATCATACCTATGAAATGTGGTTATTTTACAATGCTGTGATGAAAACAGAGGGTAGAGGGTGAATGGTACCTGTCTGTGCCTTAGTAATTAGTCTTAATCATGTCTGTAGAGAAATCTCTCTGACTCCTTCAGGCTCAAAAATAGACTGGATTTTATATTTTATATATTTCTCAGAAATAGAAATTGTGGAAATGAATGACTGAGAATGTGAGCATGGAATTGTTTCAGGATAATTTTGTTAATGACGAGCACCTGTGTTGGACTGGTGAAACAGTAGCCTACAAAAGCAAAGTGTGGGCCTGATACTGGACTGTTCAGACTGGGACTTTTACTTCCAGTTTCTGATCCCAAGCTGTGACTATTCTTGGAATTTAAGATGGAAAGAATGGGAAATTGTTAGTTGCAAAATGTCTAAATGCTGGGTCACTAGGATTTACATTAGAAATTCTGGATCCCTGTCATCTGCAAATTTGACTCTGCAATTAATCTGATTTCTTAACACTGGATCCTCACAGCAAAATGCAGACATTTCTGCCCTGCAGTTGGCAGTTGTGACTGCAGCACGTATAAACGTACCTGATCTAGCTTCTATATCATTAGTCAGGATTCCAGTAGCAGTTCCAAACTTTGGTGCAATTCAGGTGTCTGAAGCATACAGTGGTTTGTTTTTTTTCATATCTCTTGTTGCCTAAGCTAGTTAGATTTCTGGGCAGAATTCAGGACTAGTGAAATGAATTAATCTGTACTTAAGGTAATGGTGTTGTATTTATGGTACAAGAGATGATTTTTGTATCAGTTTGTAATATTCTCCTTTCTTTTAGTTTCAACACCTTCCTGTACAGCTACTGAAACACTGTTCTCTTAAAAGCAAACATACTTTATGGATTGGAATGGATTTATTTTTCCCAGAGTCACAAATCCCATCTAACATGCAGAGTGTATCAACACTGCCAGAGTTTCTACTGGAGGCATTTAGAAAAGTTTGAGATTTTTCTCTTCAAATTGGTATTGTGCACTTTCCTTTATAATGGTGCTAGCAACCTGGAAGGATTTTGAAGTTTACATACAGCCCTTTATGTCTGTTATAAAGGTGATGCAATGTATTTTTCAATTCAGCACATGTATCCAAGATAATTCATCTTTTTTCTGGATTATGTTTTGTGAGCCTCGGTAAGGAAGAGCAAAATGGGCCAGGTTCTGAGCTTGCTAGTGTTGAGAAAGGGTATGAAACTCATCCAGCCCTGGATGAGGTACACAGGGCTGGTGACTGGCTGGATCAGGACAACAGGCTGGCCCCATGTACCAGAGCCAACAAAGGGGACTGGTCTGGTACTGGCATCTCATGCTGTGCATACCCTGAACCAGCCCTGCACGCTGTGTGCAGCACACGTTGGTCCTGGTCACACACAGAGCTGTCAGGGGACATGCGCTGCATGAGATGCCCACACCAAACCAGCACTTTATGCTAGCTCAGGTGTTTAGGACCAGTTTATGGGCCTAATCCAGACTGACTCTAGAGCCAGCATACAGGCCCAGTTCAGCCCCATGCACTGTATACAACATGTGGTATCAGTGTGAGGCCCACAGGATGGATCCAAGGGCTCCACAGATCTTTGGCGCCCCTGTGATTGAGTAGCACTTTGCTTGGTATGTAGTGTTTGTTTCAGTGACCGAAGAATGACGTTCTACTTAGGATGAGTAAAGGGTGGCAGACTCAATCTATATAGTAATCTGTTAGGTATTTATAAAATGTTGATGTTTGTTTTCAGAATTTTTTCTTGTTTTTAGGAGTACTTCTGTTTTAATTATTTGTGTTCTTATTTTCAGAATGCTCTTACTGTGATCAGGGCCTCCTGTCAAGATTTCCTAACATTGCTTAATGGATGTTTGTACACTGGTGTGGAAACTTTGGGAAAAGAACTTTTTATGTACTTTGGTCAGAAAGCATTGAGGTAAGAAAAGGACTATATATGGTATTGCATATACTCGTGTACTGATCCTATATTTTTTGAGACTGATTTCTTGCTCTCAGTGCAGTCCATTTCTGTGATGTGAAAGTTAATACTGTAGAGAAGCTTCTTTGTACAATCTGTATTTAGGTGCTGGATTTTCCAGATAATGACAGGGTAAGTGCAACAGCTTTGCTTTACCGTAACAAAAGGAGTTTAGAAAGGCTGCGAGTTATCTGAAATTAGTGCGTGAGTGCTATTCTCATTCTTGAATTATTTAAGATTTAATAACATAAAATATGCTTAATGAAACTGCAGTTTATTATACACAGTACTGGTAGCATTACAGACCATTATAATTGCTTAATGCTTTTCTTGATTAATAACATTCTCAACTGCTTGTAACTTTGCCAATTTCAACTCTGAGCCAACATTGTCTATGAAGGATACTAGATCGAGGCTGAATTTTTTCAGGTTTTCACTTAAACTGTTGCAAGCTCAGCTTAAAAGCAGGGGTTCAACTTTATTTCATACATAAGTAGTTTGTCCTCAGTTTGATTTAACTACCTTTGTGTTTGTTCTTTGCTAAAAGCTAACAAGAATTTCTGTTGATTTTTATCACTATGCGCCCATCTAGGTTGATATAGGTGCTCTCTAGCAGCCTTGGAGCGCAAACCCAGTCCAGGCTTTGGGGCATGTCCCCGAGACTTGGGTGTTGGGCTTTGTTCAACCCTGAGGGAGGCCCCAACACTCGCCTGCCATGACTTGATCTTCTGTTCAGTAGTGGGACTCTCCCTTGGAGAAACTCACAGACTGGGCGCTGCCCCTTGCAGGCGTTCCTGGTGCTCCACCTCCCCTAAACCCCAGCCATATGCCAGCTTTCAGAACAACCAGGTGATGGGTCGCTGGCTTGTCTCTTTGCTCGCTCCTGCTTTTGTTCTCTCTTGCCCGTCCCTCAGTGTCTGTCTTTGCCCCAGGTATCTGCAGAGTATGGGATTGGCCCTGTCTCAACCTCTGCCTTGGCCTTATCTCCGAGCCGTTGGGTTCGCCAAGGCGGCCTCTACTTTTCTTGACCCTCCCGGTCAGTTAGGGATGCTTCCCCGGTTCAGGCTCTGGGTTCCCTACGAGGCACCAATATCAACCAAGAAATGAAAGGGAAAAAAAAAAGAAGAAAAGAAAGAAACAGCAGGGGTTTGAGCCATAGCCCGTCCCACTCATGGGTCTGGCATCTGTGGTTGTCAGGATCCCTTGATGCCATCCTCCTTTATCCAGTTGTTCCATTGAGCTGGGCATTTACCCTTTTAAGAGGGCTGGGACCCTTCTGGTGGGCCCCCGTCCGGACTCCTGCAGCTCCCCTTCTCTGGCGGTCCTGTAGTCCGGAGGACAGCTTCTTGCCCTGTCCCTGGTTCGGATGACCTTCTGGCATCGGGGAAACGAAAAACTTTTAAATCTGCCGGGCGGTGGTTTTTGATGATGTCATCTGCTGGTGTCGCTCCCAGCCACAAATAAAAGCGGCTGATGAACCATGCTGGCAGCTCTTCTCAGCATGGCGCAGTTTTCCCTGCTGGAGGTAAGTAAGCCCTCTCCTTAGGGCTTTTGGTTTTCTTTTTCTGGGAGTTTATCCCAGCCTTGGGTTCTGCCATGGGAGGGGTTCTCGGGACCTCTGTTTGTGTCCCCCTGGGGGACACTGTTTTGGCTATATGGCTGTTATTCTGTATTTATATGCCTTTTCAATTTTGTGACATGCCTTAATCAAAAGATAGCCAATAAGATTATAACGAGAACAGGTGACAAATGTGTTCTGTTACTTAATGGCTATTTATAGGCCTAATGGACAGTGTGGAGGTGAAACTCTTAGATGTCAATGACCAATTGCATTTCAAGAAGAAAAGTCATTGTTGAAGAAAACCTGGACTCCCAAGCGGCTAGAAAAGAGGGCTGTCAAAACTCAAAATGGGGAGACAGTCAGTCTCGGGGGTAGGCACCCAAAATAGTGTGTATAAGGATTGCCCAGGAATGAGAAACGTTAGCTTCACAGAAGCAAGTATATTCCATGGGGAAGGTCCATTATGAGGAGAATTCCAGATCCCCAGGCAGGAAGGAATGTTGTTCCTTCTATTGAATGATCTATTGATAGAATTGTCAAGATGGTGGGAGGTGGAAAAGGTGGCTTTAGGGGATTTAGGTGATGTCTGTTCAGAAGAAGTGGTCTTTGGAATCCATTTCCCATATCTTGGGATGAATCCTGGTCCCTGGCTGTTAGAGCTGACAAAGTCAGCAGGGAAGGTTGCTCCCTGGAAATGCTGACAAGGACTGTTATAGTCAGGAAAGTGGATGAGAATTTTGCCGTTTTGTCTTCAAATTCTATGTTTCCTCTTTCTTGTACAATTTCTGTCTCCTATGCAATAAATCCTTTTGATATTTTGTTGTCTTACTGATTGCTTGTGGTAAAAATTGTTTTCAGGGAAATCAATAAGTTTGAGACTCCCTTTGCTTCAGGAGATGTGGTGGGGAGACACCTATGGGTATTTATAGACTTGCTCCGGGGGGGAAAAGGGAGGGGGGCTTTAATTAGCAAGCTGCGCTTGTTAAAAGTGCCCAAGCATCACATGTATCAGCGTCCCCGTACTGAAAAAAGGCGGTGGGGCGCTTTAAATTAAATCTCATTCAACCAGCTTTAGTTCAAAGCTCCCCACTGCCATTTTTCAGTGCAGGGATGCTGATGCATGTGATGCTGGAGGCTGCTGGAGTGTGTTAATTTCTGTGCTCCAGCAGACTTGAGTAACTGAGTCTGCTTTGATGCACTGGAGTTACAGCACATTGGAGCAGCTACACTGCACATCTGTAGGAGCTGTATCATTTTATAAAAAGCAAGGGGAGATTCCTGGAGTTGGCAAAGTTTCTCCTGTTCCAGCTGCGTAGTCTGGTGTGAGGGCTAGTGAAACTAAGGCTCGTGGGGATAAACAGTTGCCCCCAGGGACAACTTTTTGTTTGTTTCTTAAGACAAACCACAGGAAGAAACCGGGGGCTCTTGGTTCAGGCTTTAGTTGGTTCATACTAAGAAATAAATTATAAGAATTAGTTTGGAGATGTTGGGTGGTATGCCCATCTAACTTTATGGAGCCTTTCCCGTGCGGCCCTAAAGTGCACGCTAGGGGTCTACCATGGAGACAAGTCCTGCTGTTGTGATACAGGGTTGCATTCTCCCTGGAGGATACCCTGATACTTGCTTGCCACATCCTGGATGTTATGTACCAGCCCTATGATTCAGTAACAGGGTTCCCTTCTGTCATGGGGAATGCACCAGGTATCATCACTAGCGAGCATTCCTGGGGCTCCACCTCCCCTACACACCAGCCATGCACCAACCTACTGGGACTGCCAAACAATGGACAATACGGCTCCGCTTTGATGTGGTGTCCCATTCCCTCTCTGCCTCTCTGGCCCTTGGCTGTCGTAACAGCATATCTCCCTGCCACACGGATGTGCTTGGGGCAGTGAGATGGCCATGATGATGGGTCAGCCTACCTGCGTTGGGATATTCTGAGCGGCCCCAGCCTGCTTGACCCTCAGCAACTGTCTTTTGGCCTTTTCTCTGGCCCTGGGGCTTCAAGCTAAACTGAAAGATAAATAAAGAACCAAAACTCCAGGGAGGGGCCTCCGCCCACTCCCCACTCACGCGTCCTGTGTTTGCCGGCTTTGCCTTCCCTCAGTGTCCTGCTTCGGACCAACTCCCTCACTGTCCTTGGTGATGTGGTGCTTTAAATCAAGCCCTGGACCCCCCTGCTGGGTCCCTCTCTGGCCCCTCGTTGGCATCGGGAGGCCTCCGTTCAGCCTGGAGGATGGTCCCACAGCTACTTCCCTGCTGTGTCCTCCCACCCCGCCAGCTGATTTC